ACTGTCCATTTCTGAAATCTTGTTGTTTATCTTTTGGATTTCTAATTGTTGTTTTTATTATGATTTCTAGTTCTGAATTTATTTTAGCATTTTGTTCCTGTATTATTTTCTTGAATTCTTCCATTTTTTTGTCTGTATTTTCCATGAATTTGTCTGCCTTTTCTATGAATTTGTCTATTTTTTTCTCATTTTTGTCTGTTTTTTGCTTCAACTCTTGGATAATTCTGAATATTAGAGATTTGAATTCCCTGTCCGTTAGGCCTAGTGCCTTTTCTTCTACTGGAAGGTCATCTGGTGTTTTATTTTGGACGCCTACTGGAACCATCCTGTCCTGTTTTTGTAAATGTTTCGATATTGTCTGCTGTCTTTGGGGAATTTGGTGCTTATTTTCCTCATTTATGGATTGTAGATTTGTTTGTTTCATCCTGCTTTTTTGTTTTATTTGGTTATGTCTGAGCAGGCGGGCTGTGTGTTCTTTGTTATTTGCTTGTCTGTGGGCACGATACTTTTCACCTCTTTCTCCAGTGGGCAGGGTCAGTCACTCAGGTATGGTATAGCAGGGCAGGTCCAGCTGAAGGGGAGTTGCTGGGATAGCTTTTTTGTGGCACATACCAGGGCTGAAAGTGCAGACTGGGAATCAGTGTAGGGGAGGTTCCAGTAGGCTGTGCCTGTGCTGCTTGGGAGTGTGATGTTCAGCACATGGGGCAAGTAGGCAGGAAGTAGGGGGTAGATTGTGATGTGTGGAGCTAAGATGGGTATGGGGAAGATGAGAGAGAGGAGAGAGGAACAGGAGCTAAAAACATACGCACAAACAAAAAAGTGCTAAGCAAGCTTGCTATTGGAGTGGAGAGATGAGAGACTGAGAAATGGGGAAAAATAAAAATGAAAAAAAAAGAAAAAGGGTAAAAGAAAAATGAATAAATCGAGAAACTGGAAATGAAGAAAGACAAAAAGGGAATAAGAGAGAGAAGAAAACTAAACAAAGAAATGGAAAAAAAAAAAACCAAGAAAAAACAAATGCTCCCAGTGATGTCCCTGTGCGTCTGCGCAGAGTAAGGGACTAGTTTCCAAGCTACACGGTACTGCCCAGCTAGAAGGGGCTCCCAAGCCAAGAAAAGAAAAAGAAAACAAACAAACAAAACAGAACAAATCGAAGCAAACAAACAAAAAAGCCTTGGGGGTTCCACCAGCGTGGCTGCATAGGCCAGAAAGCAGTTTCACAGTCAAGCAGTGTTTTGCAGCCTTTCAGGAAGAAGTAAAGATGGCACATGGAGCCAGGTATTTGAGAGAAAGGAGGGGGAGGTGGTGAGATGTAAGGAAGAAATCTAAAGAAGCGGAAAAAAGCAGCACCAGCAGCCAACAAATGGCACTCAGGGAGCTGATCAGTGCAGGCGGTGGAATCCAAGTGGTACTGGGAGGAAGCTCGTACTTCCCAGCCAATAGACTGTGGCTACAGGAAGCAGAGGAGGCTAAGTGGGGGCGAAGAAGGGTGGGTGGTGGGAAAGCCTATATCATGGGTTACTGGTTGTTCTGTCTCCTGCTGGAAGCTCCGGGAAGTTGCTTTCTCATACCTGCTGTTCACTGATCTCCGATAGGAGTCCAAGATGGCAGATCCATGCTGCAGTAGCTGATAGGGGACCTCTGCGTGTATCTCTCCTTGCGCTCTGTTCTCGGCCAGTTTCTTATTCCATTCGGTGCTTGGCTGAGTTCTTTATCTCTTCATTTGATGCTTAGGGTTTCAGGATTGACGGGTGACTCTGTTTGACTTAGTTTTTCTGATCTTTGTTGCAGAGGGACAGCGTGGTGCTTCTGACTATAGTGCCATGTTGCCCGGAAGTCCCCGGTTCATGATTTTTGTGAACTCTGTTAAGCCAATTAACTGAGTTGTCCCATGAGACTATGGTCCTAAGCCTTCAAACAATATGGGTTATTGTGAAGTAGCTCCTCTACCCTGGGCACCCAAGTTCTCATCAATCATGCTGCAAAAGTTTGTATTCTCCTTTAGTAGGCTTTCTCATTCATCCACCTATATCCAACCAGTCACTAATCCATATTAACTTTTCCTTCAGAAATATGTTTTAGCCTTTCCTTCCTCTTTTATCAGGGTCAACATCCTGGTCTAGGCCCAACTCAGCTCACGCGTGGATAACTGTAAAACCCTCCTCCTAGGAACCTACTGCCACAGAGTCAATTCTGACTAATGGTGACCCCATTTGTTACAAAGTAAACTGTTGTATATGGTTTGTTTGGCTGTAATCTCTATGCAAGCAGATAGCCAGGACTTTCATCTGCAGTGCTGCTGGATAGGTTCAAGTCGTCAGTCAACCTTCAAGTTATGAGTCCAGCACAAACAGTTTGGGATGCCCAGGGAGCCTTTCTTTCTACTAGACACTGTGAAACCTCTACTCTGCTTTCCACTCCTCTGCTCCTTACTCATTTATTCATTGTCACACAAACAAGAAAAGCTTATTAGTTACCTCTTAGCTCAAAATGCTTTCTTCTTCTCACCTTCCCAACAGTGGCTTCCTTTCTCCACACTCTTCTAACACAGTAAATACAGTACTTAATTGGTTGAGACACTTTCCATTTCACCTGTGTTAGCCTCCTCAGCACACCTAGACACAATTCAAGCTCCCCAACAACATGCATCCAATTTCCACTTCAGTAAGCCCCTCCATGGCCAAAAGCAACGGAGAAGGCACCCTAAACCAGCCTTTCCTGATTGCCTAGTGAATTTTAATTTGGATTTGTTGAGTTTAGAATTATGTCCTAACTCCCAAGAAAACCCCATGGAGCCGTTCTACTCTCACATGGGGTCGCCGCCGAAAGTCGGAATCCACTCAACTGCAATGGTTTTATTATTATTGACTCCCAAGTATTCTTGAGTTGCTTGTGGCATATATGCTTTGTGGTCCATCTGGCAAGCAAAGACAACATAAAAATAAGAATTCAAGGTGATGTTAAAAAATGAATACATTGAGGGTAAGAGAAATCACTAAAAAAAACGCAGACTCTGTAAAATGTTTAACACCTAATAACGTATTTAATACTAGAACAGTATGTTAGCCCCACAACGACTGAACCCTGAACTATTCCGAGTTACTCAAAAGACGTCCAGCCACACTTTTCCTCCAAGTCTAGCCAATCTAAATAAACCAAGCCTTAGGCAAGTCTCATCTCTTCTTCCTCCCCGTCTGGCAAATTCTTCCTGATCCCACCCCTTCCAAGAACGCAGCCTTGTGATTGGCCATGACCTGTCCTCGAGCCGCCCAATTGCGCACGAGCAGCTGCTTTAGCGTCGCTTCGCGTGAGGGAGGAACATGGCGGACCGGCTAACGCAGCTTCAAGATGCCGTGAACTCGGTGAGGAATTTCACTCGATTAGTCTCTGTCTGTGTGTTTCTTGGGGTAAACTAAGGGGAGACGGGGGGCCTGAGAGACAAAACGCGGAAGTAGAGAGCTTACTGAGTTAGAACTCAACAAATAGCGCTCGGGGCGGCGGGAAGCCCCGCCGCGAACTCTTGGAAGGTCTGAGGCTGCGCGCTCCAGGCAGTGCGGAGAGAGGCGGGAGGGAGTCTTTATCTTTTGCCAGAGATTGAGAAGTGGAGGATCTCTGAATTCTCCGACACTCCACCGTGACTCTTAGGTTGCACAGTCCTGTCATGTTCTCACTGAGAAGAATTTTATTTTCTTGTTAGTGGTGGTTATAGGCTGTCTTCTTTTTGGGATGGAGAAAGGGAGAAGCAGGGTTTTTTTTGTTTGTTTTGTTACTTATCAATTCTAACCACTCGCGGCGAGCCCCCACGCTTGATTATTGGATCTTTAATTAAATGTTAGCCGAGAGGATTTCTTTGCGGTAACTTTTAGGTTGGAGTCGGGGGAGGGGGCAGGACAGGGCATTGGGAGTGGTGGTGAAATCAGTTGTGTTTTTCCTAGTTCATTTTTAAAAGTCAAAGGTCTCACTCCTCAGCATAGAAGTAGGTAGTTAATCGGACAGGGGTGAGAAAATGGAGCCAGTATGGATGTTCAGCATTGTATTTTATTTTTTGTTTATTGTTGTAGTTTAAGTGAAGGTTTGCATTTCAAGTTAGTCTCTTATACAAAAATTTATACATACATTGTTATGTGACCCTAATTGCGCTCCCTGTACTGTGACAGCACACTCCTCCTTTCCACCCCTGATTTCCTATGTCCATTCAACCAGCTCCTAACCCTCTCTGCCTTCTCATCTCACCTCCGGACAGAAGCTGCCCGTTTAGTCTCATGTATCTACTTGAGCTAAGAAGCACACTCTTCACGAGTGTCATTTCATCAGCATTGTATTTTAAATGAGGGCTGGCTGCGTTACCAACTTAAAAAAAAAAAACAACAACCCAAAATGAGGTGTACATATGAACTTAAAGGTATTTTCCTCAGCTGTATAGAATTAACACAGATCACAGTAGCAGTATGTAATAAGACTCTCAGTTCTATTAACTTGTTTGAAGGTTTTTCATAAAGAAATAAAATAGAGACGCTTGGAAAAAGAAAAATCATTCTTTTTCTTGGAAAAGGAAAAGTACAAACCCCTCTGGAGTAGTAAAAGGCCATTCGCTCACTGCCGATGACAAATACATCTTTTTATGGTGAAATAACATTCTTAGAGAAAAGTGCAGATGTACAGTTTAACGAACAATTACAAAGTGAACACCTGTGAAACATGAATGAAGTGAAGAAATACGTCATTGTCAGCATCCCAGAAATGCTTCCTCCCTCTCCTGATCTTAGTACTATCCTGACTTTTGTGATAATCTCTTTGCTTTTCTTTGTAGTTTTATCATGCGTCCCTAAACAACATAGTTTAATTTTTTTTATCTTTTTGAATTGTATTCTTTTGTGTTTGGCTTCTTTCACCCAAAATTTTGTGTTTCATCTGTTTTGTGCATAGTAGTGTAGCATTCATTTTCATAGCTCTATAGTATTTCATTTTTTTAACATGCCCTAATTGCTGCTGCTTTTTTTAAAAAAAAAAATTTTTTTTATTGTGTTTCAGCGAAGGTTTACACAGCAGTTTAGGTTCCCATTCAACGGTTTCTACACTGGTTGTTCAGTAACATTGGTTACATTTTTCACAATGCGTGAGCATTCTTATTATTTCCATTCTGGTTTTTGTGTTTCTTGTTAAAACTTCTTTTTTTTTAAATGTATTTTGCTTTAGGTGAAAGTTTACAGCTCAAGTTCATTTCTCATTCAGAAATTTATACACAATACTGTTTTGAGTCATTGGTTGCAGTCCCCGCATTGTGACAGCACACTCCTCATTTCCACCTCTGGTTCCCTGTGTCCGTTCGTGCGGTTCCTGTCCCTTCCTGCCTTCTCATCTTGCTTTTGGGAAGGAGTTGCCCATTTGGTCTCGAATATTTGATTGAACTAAGAAACATGTTCCTCATGCGTGTTATTGTTTGTTTTATAGGCTTGTCTAATCTTTGTCTGAAAAGTGGGCTTCGGAAGTGGTTTCAGTTCTGAGTTAGCAGACTGTCTGGGAGCCATAGTCTTGGAGGTTCCTCCAGTCTCTGTCAGACCAGTAACTCTGGTCTTTTTTTTTTTTTTTTTCCATGAATTTGAATTCTGTTCTACATTTTTCTCCCCTTCTGTCTGGGACTCTCTGTTGTGATCCCTGTCAGAACGGTCGGTGGTGGTAGCCGGGTGCTGTCTAGTTTTTCTGGACTTAGGCTGGTGGAGGCTCTGGTTCATGTGGTCATTTAGTCCTTTGGGCTACTATTTCCTTTTGTCTTTGGTTTCCACGGGATGGGATCAATAAATGTTTCTCAGATGGCTGCTTGCAAGCTTTTAAGACACCAGACACTACTCAACAAAGTGAGATGTAGAACATTTTCTTTATGAATTATGTTATGCGAATTGACCTAGATGACCCCTGAGACTGTGGTCCCCAACCCCAGCATCTTGGTCCCTCAGGGTGTTTGGATGTGTCTAGGAAACTTCTATGCCTTTGCTTTTGTCATGTTGTGCCAACTTCCCCTATATATTGTCCTTCTCTTCACCAAAGTTGACACTTGTCTACTGTCTAGTGATTCCCCCCCACCCCCCAGCCCCATTGCTTCTTGATGAACATTGGTGCCTAGATGTCTCCTGGTACACAGGTGTGCAGAGCAAGCAGTTAAGTTTCTTTTACTCCATATCTTCATCAACATTTGGTATTGTCAGTCTTCTTCATTTTAGTCTTCCTGGTAGATGCGTAAAAGTATCTCGTGTTTTAAATTTGCATTTCCTTGATGACTAAGGGAGCTTTGAGTACCTTTTCATATGATTACTGGCCATTGTAGTTCTCTTTCTTCGAGTACCTGTTCAAGTTCTTTGCCCATTTTTCTTAGTCTGTTACTGCCTGTTCATGATATTTTTACAAATAGAAATTGTTAACATGACTGTAGTGGAATTTATCGTATTTTTCTTTGTTGGTTAGTCTTTTTTGTGTCTGAAGAAATTCTTTCTTACCCCAACATCATGAATGTATTTTATTATAGCATTATCTAAAAAATACTTTTGACTTTTATGCTTAGAGCTTAATCCACCTGGAATTAATTTTTGTGGGAGAATGGGATCCAATTTCACATTTTTCCCGGATTGATACCCATTTGGTCCAGCAATGTTGTCATATCAAGTGTTCAAATATGCATAAGTTTGTTTTGGGGCTCTCTTCTGAGCCATCAGTCTTTGTCCCTGAACAGTACCACACTGTCTTAATTACTACGATTTTATGATAAGTCTTGATATGTAGTAGGGCACTTCCTCTCACTTTGTTCTTATTCTTTAGTTGTGTCTTGGCCGGTATTGTACCTTTGTACTTCTATATAAAATTTACAATCAGCTTATCAAATTGCACTGCAGAAATAGAAACCACAGCCTGTTCGGATTTTGATTGCATGGAATTTATAAACCTTTTTGGGCAGAACTGATATCTTTATGATATTGAATCTTCTAATTCTCGAACAAGGTATATGGTTGTTGCTGGGTGCCATCGAGTTGATTCCAATTTACAGTGACTCCATGTGACACAACAGAACTGCTCCATAGGGTTTTCTTGGCTGTAATCTATAGAAGGAGATCACCAAGTCTTTTTCCCAGCAGAGCCGCTGGGTGGGTTCAAACTGCCAACCTTTTGATTAGCAGCCAAGTGCTTAACTGATGAGCCACAGGGCTCCTTTTCAAGGTGTATCTTTCCATTTATTTAAGTCTTCTTTATTTCTTCCAATAAGTCTGTTGCCGATTAAAGATCAAGTCTTGCAAGTATAACTCCCCTTACTTTGATTCTTCTGATTATTCTTTTTCCTATTTACTTTGTCTAAGTGGAAAGTATGTACAATCCAAAGGATGCATGTACTTATTACCATTAGGAGTTAAACAGTTTTCCATTGGTAGTTATATTTCTCATTGTCATTCTGATTATAATTTGATGTCCTGGGTGACTACAGAAAGAGCTTATGCTGACTGGAAAGCCTATTCCCCTTGTCAGTTTTTCTCACTGTTTACATTTTTGTTAATATTACAATCCTTGTACACGTAAAGAGTATGGGTCTCTTTCTAAAAAACCAATCTACTTTGTGTGTGAATAAAATAGGGGCTTTCAAGACTGAGAGGGTCAGTCCCTAAATTTTGATGAATTCACCAAGATAAATGCTGCTTTGCAGTGACTTGTCTGGACTGCCTGCCAACCTCCCTCAGAGAGATACTCTTGAGGTTTTACAAAATCCAATTGTAATGATGCTGCTAGATAGAGATGTTATTTTAGGGAAATTTTGCATATTCATACTTATCATGTAACTAGAAGAATAGTAAGGACAAATTGAATACAGGGTTAACTCCAGGTTAGACATGTTGATAATGGGATTTTGGAGAGAAGCATCTGGATTAACTTAACTAGTATGAGTATTTACTGTGTAAATAAGCTGTGTTGTTTTCATTACCATTACACACTATTATGTTTACAGAGAGACATTCCTCAGGAAGTTTACAGTCTGATTAGAAGGATATCATATACTCAGACATCTTACTGATGCAAAAATAGTGTGTGGCTAGAGAGTTATAATGAATCCAGTGCTTTCGGCTATAAGTGCTGAAGGAAATTGGAATATAGAGTGATACGAACTAAAATATAGGGCGTCTTCTCAGTATTTATCCCAGTTTTGATTAATTATTTGTATAATTATTAACACTTCTTTTACTCTCTAGTCTGAAAACTCCATGAGGGCAGAAGCTATGTCTTGTTGTATCTCTAGAGTGTGTGTGTGTGTGTCTAAAATGCTTTGCATATATTTGACTTTTGATACATATTTGTTGAATAAATGAATAAAATGGATCTTGAAACTTTTGAAGGATGGAGTGGATAGCCACTGTATTGAATTTGTGTGTGTGTGTGTTTTCTGTTCCTCACAACAACACTGTAATATGAGAATGCTCCCAATTCAAAAATGCAGAAAACTATTTAGGTTGAAGTAGTATTAGAATCCAAGTTTGTACAGCTTCGGAGCACTTACTACTCCGTTACAAGTAGCAAAAACATGAGCAAAGCAGTGTTGAATGAATAAAAACAGTCAGGAATGAATTTATGACTAGTCAGGTAAATATGAGGGAGCAGTGGAAAATGAATTAGTAGAGTTGATTTAGATTATTGAAAGCCTTGGAACAGCCTTGAAGAGCTAGAGATTTATCTTGAAGATCATGGGACAGTGTACTCAATTTTTGAGCAGGATAAACTAACACAGTGCATTAGAAAACAATTAGGCTATTCTGACATTTCTGGTGTGAGATAATTAGTTGAACTAAGGTAGCAACAGTCATGATAAAAAGAGGGAAAGATTTATAATATTAGATTTGAGGGTGAAAGAAAAGTTAAGTCCGAAGTTATACTAGTTGACTAGAGAATATCAATACAAATTAGAGATTAAACAGAAGAAACCAATTTTATGAGGAGTTGACTTTAATTTCTGTAATGGAAATAATGGCAGAGAAACTCAGTGGAAATGTTTATTCACTGATTGAAAATAAGGGATTGAGGTTTGAGAGATCAGGACTAGAACTAGCAAGAGAAGTTGGCAGGGAGGTTGGTAGGTGTTTATTTTGGGCTTGGTATTCTCAGTCTTCTTCAAAGCTGCTTAAGGAATACTTCTAGAGCACCAGGGATTTACAGCTTGAGTCATGGAGAAATACATTCTGAATACTTAAGGTGCATTCTCAAGCAGTCTGTTTTCCCCACTGTTTTTTTTTTTTTTTTTTTTAAATCCTTGTAACTACTCTGATCTCAGAAAAGGAAACATTAACTTTGTACAGGAGTCACACATTTTTATTAACCCTGGAGGCATGCTTATATTTTGCCAGCCAAATTTGCTCTCCTCCCACCATTAACTGTAAAATGTTTTTGTTGCTTGCAGTAGGTATTGGCATATATCTCTTATTCTATTTCAGAAGAAAAGAAGGATCATTTTGAATTTTTTTTTTTTTTACTACTTCAACTAAATTGATTATCAAGTTTAATGCCAACTAGATTAATGCCAAACTTAGTTTCCATGATTAAGACATTTAATCATTGTTAATAACTGGCTTATTTTATCGAAAACTAAAATATCCAAACCGAACCCATTGCTTTCGAGTCGATTCCAACTTATAGCGACCCTATAGGACAGAGTGGAACTGTGCCATAGGATTTCCAAGGAATGGCTGGTGGATTTGAACTGATGACCTTTTGGTTAGCAGCCTGAGCTCTTAACCACTGCGCCACCAGGACGCCTATTGAAAACTACTCTTTTCTATTTTATTCCCTTACTCAGAGATCATTATTATAGAAGCGTATCATTGTTTTCATTACCAATAATAAAAATTGATAAATCTTTTCTAATCTTGACATTTTTCTTTGGTCTCAAGCTTGCAGATCAGTTTTGTAATGCCATTGGAGTATTGCAGCAGTGTGGTCCTCCTGCCGCCACCAGGACGCCTATTGAAAACTACTCTTTTCTATTTTATTCCCTTACTCAGAGATCATTATTATAGAAGCGTATCATTGTTTTCATTACCAATAATAAAAATTGATAAATCTTTTCTAATCTTGACATTTTTCTTTGGTCTCAAGCTTGCAGATCAGTTTTGTAATGCCATTGGAGTATTGCAGCAGTGTGGTCCTCCTGCCTCTTTTAGTAATATTCAGACAGCAATTAACAAAGATCAGCCAGCTAATCCTACAGAAGGTAAATAGGGTTTTTTTTTGGCTTCTCTCATTGACTTTCGCATTTCTCATAATACTTTAAAATTTATCGTGGCTTTTTTCTAGAAATATTATTGTTATTTAAGAATATTACAACAAGTTTTACTTGTCATAAAAGAAATGAATTTGTTAAGTCAGTTCACATAACATCTCATAATTCTTTTCATTTCAAATATCAGATTGTCACTCACTTGAAGGAGAATTTGTAGAATTTAGCTGAATTTACTTGAGGGGCCTTAATAAGATACCTCTTTACAAATTTATTCAAGTGACTGCAACATTTTGATAATAAACAAAATAACATAATTATGATAATTCTCAATTTGAGTTAACATTAAGGCTCATTCTTAGTTATACATGTAATAGGGTTCGTATGCTAACATTACATTTTGATCATTAGTAACCTGGTACAGAAATGTTCATATGACGTTTTCTGTTTCATTAACTTAAAATTTAATTTTGGTTTCTGAAGACTTGAGATTTTTTAATATCTTCATTTAATAATATCTTTCTCTAGAGTATGCCCAGCTTTTTGCAGCGCTGATTGCACGAACAGCAAAAGACATAGATGTTTTGATTGATTCCTTACCCAGTGAAGAATCTACAGCTGCTCTACAGGTAAAAATCCCTTTTCTTTTGAGAACTTTGTTAGTAGTAGAGAATTGTGAGTTAAAGGGGACAGATTAATACCTTCTGTTATAATATTCAAAGTTACCTTAAGATTAAATTTTAAAATGAGAGTTTTATTAATTGTGAGCCATTGTAGGCTATAGACGACTATACTGAATATATATGTATGTATGTATATGTGTGTGTGTTTGTATATTCATTTGTATACATACAGACATGCATATATATTTGTCCAGTCTTGAGGTATAAAGAAACCTTCTCTTTTCTTCGATTTGTGTCTTTTTCTAGCAGAGAATTAAGAGGATGATGGCATTCTGGGTGTGGAGTAAAATAGTAGTATCCAAAAGCAGTATAGAAAGGAATCACATATAAACATCCAGAGACCTCTAAATGAAAATCCATTTTTTAAAAATAATTCATAGAAAACTCTCAGAAGTTACCTGATTTTTAAAATTTTTGCCTCTGAAAAATCCATCCACAATGATTGGAAATTTATCCAGATTTAGAAGTACAGGCAGTGCCCCAGTTACAAACGAGATCTGTTCCTAAGTCTGTCTTTAAGTCGAATTTGTAGGTAAATCGGAGCAGGTACATATGATTTTATTTAACGTCAGTCAGATGTTTGTCATAGTATATATTTTACTTTTCTATGCATGAGCATCACAAAGTGTGTGCATTTGCTATTATGAACCATTTTATTTAACTCAAATTTTTAATAGGCTTTCTGGCAGGCCGTTCTTAAGTACAAGTTGTCTGTAAGTTGGACGTTCATAACCCGGGGACTGCCTATACATATTTCTGCTGCAGTTCCTTTCCATCTCAACTGTTATTCCCCAAATTTTTCATTTCTGTAAAGATTTTTAAATTTGTTTTTTATGAAGGCTGCTAGCTTGTATAAGCTAGAAGAAGAAAACCATGAAGCCGCTACATGTCTGGAGGATGTTGTTTATCGAGGGGATATGCTTCTGGAAAAGATACAGAGTGCACTTGCTGATATTGCCCAATCACAGCTGAAGACAAGAAGTGGTACCCACAGCCAGTCTCTTCCAGACTCATAGTGCCACCATATCCCAAGTGGCTGAGAAAAGAACTATTTCAGCGCAGCTAAAAATTCTGCATCAGATTTAGATGTAAGCCTCACCAACAGTTACAGAAACATTAAGGACTATGATATGTGTTACCTTTTTAGCTATTTTTATGGTCTTCTATTTTCACTCTTGACAAATAAGCTTGTAAAATTGTGATTGAACCAGCTTTAAGCCATCATATGCCATCATTTTTATTAGCTGAATGAGATTATTGAGGCAGATATTAAATTCATTGTCATAATATAATTAAACAGATGCATTATAAAATTCTACTGTGACATAATTTCTGTCTTTATTTTATTTGTCATATATTTCTACAGTCCATTTACAAATCAAAACATGCCTCAAGCCAGAGGAAAGGTGGTAAGTGCAGAGATACGGGATATTTCAGTTTAGTTTGGTATCCTTTTGTCTCTTTAGAGGTGGTGGTGTATAAATTTGGAGCTTTGAGCAGGGAAGGTTTCTAAAACTGTGTTTTTAAGAAACTGAAAGAGAGTTAGTGTGGCAGGATGAGAGATTAGGTCACTTGTACACAAACCCTTTCCTCTTCCAGGACCTCATACCCATCTGCATTCATCTCTGCATTTTTCTACTAAGAAATCCTCTTCTCTGTGTGTGGAGTTCCCATTCTATTACAAGAAAATTTTTCTTTATCCTGAACTGTTTTTCTCATATCTTTACACTTGCTTACCTTTTTTATCTTTCTCCTTAATTTGTTTGTCGTCACTATGAAGTATATTCTTGAGCTGATTCCTTCGCATTTTCTTTTCTTATCTGAATGTACTGTTTTCTGTTTTATTTCTCAATCCTTATTGCTGAGAATATACTTCTCCTGTATTACTTTAATACCACTCCATCCCATCTCAGCTTGTTATTGTTAGCATTTGTATCAACATTCTCAATTATGATTACTCATCTAATTCTTGCATCACTTTGAATCCACTGATTATCTCCACTGGCAAGCTGGAGTTGGAATGTGTTTCACATTGTAACTGGTTCTGTCTCCTGAGGATGCATTTTTTCAAAATATTCTGAGCTACATGTGCAGCAATCTGTTGCTACCAGAGTTCCTAGAGAAAGCTCAAGAACAGTGCTCAGAGCATTCTACCTCTTATTTCATAATCAAGTTCTTGAAAAATACTTTGTTTTACAGTTAAGGAGCACCAGCATTGGCTCCAAAAGCTGCAGCACTTTGTTGGTTTGTCCTAGAAATTTTAGAACTTTCAATTTTTTGTGTGTATTGTCATTGACATTAAATAAAAGCACTTCACTATCACAGACTTTTGACATGAATCTGTACCCTTCTTTATAGTTTTTGGGGGAGAAAAGAATCAGAAAACTATTTCTCAAAATACGTATGTTATTACTTTGGCCCTACATACAGCTACATTTGTTCAAAGTGTGCAGCAGAACAGGAAACCAAAATCCCAGCTGGAGGACTGCAAAGGCAAGCCCCACAGAACCAGAAAGTACCAGACCATGGAGAGGGAGGATCTTTGGAAAGCAACTCACAAAAGTTGTTTGTGAGCCTCTGCTCACCTCAAGCTGCACATGTGCGGATGTGACTCTTAAGAGTATACATAGACTTTGAGAAATGAACTACAGGAGAGACTGTGGGCCAAGTCCCAGATTGGCCCCTGAATGGTGTGTACACAAGACAGATCCCAATAGCACTGTGAAGATTTTGAGAACTGACACTGACTGGAAATAAAGCCCATGGTGGCAGGCTAGAACTTCTAGCCTGAATCCAACTGAGTCTGACAAAGACTTCAAAGCAGCTATTATAAAAATGCTCCAACGGGAAGGGTGAGCACTCTTGAATAGAAAGATAAAAAATCTCAGCAAAGGAATAGAAATGAAAAAAGAACGAAATGAAAATTTTAGAACTAAAATATACGGTAAGTGAGACAAGAAACTCACTAGATAGGTTCAATAGAATAGGGAAGTGAGTGAAATTGAAGATGGAGTTAAAGAAATTATCCAGTATTAGTAACAGTAAATTGATAGAAATTAACAGCCTTAGGGACATATGGGATGATAAGAAAATAACCTAAGGAGAGGTGAAAGTGCCAGGCTGAGAAAATATGAGAAGAATAAATTTAGTGAGAGACATGAAGCGATTCAGGAAGCTCAACAAACCCTGAACAGAAAAATCCAAAGAAATCCACACTCAGACATTTCATAATCAAATTTCTGAAAACCAAAATACTGAAAGCAGCTATATAGAGATGTACATTGCCTACAGGGAGACAGTGATTTAAATGACAGTGCTAGACAAAGGAAAGCTAACAATTTATTGCTAGTATGCCTGCTACAAAAGAACTGCTGAAGAAAACTTTTTGAAAAGAAGCTTAATGATACCACAAGGAAACTTGGAACAGCAGGAATGAAGAAAGCACAATGAAAAGGGTAAATACATTATTCTTAAAGAAAATTTCATTTGATGATTCAAAGACAAAATTTAACATTGTCTTGTGTGATTCTTAGTCTATGTGAGGTAATATGTTGATGCTGGTAGACTTTAAGAAGTTAAGTATAATCCCTAGGGCAACAACTACTGAAAACTATATAAACAAACTTACTAAAGAACATTTTACATAAATTAAGATGTAATACTAAAAAATATTGAAGTAACTCATAGGAAGGCAGGGAAGAGCACCCAGAGGAGTAGAACGGAATAAACACAAACCTAAATCTAACACAAAATTATATTAACTATTAATAAGCCAAATATTAAAAGACAAGTTCTCAGGATGGACTAAAATGACCCAATTATCACCTCTATAAGAAACTCCAAATACAATAATCTAAGTAGGTTAAAAGCAAAAAGATGGAAAAAGATACAACATGCAAACAGTAATCAAAGCTGAAATGGTTATGTTAATATCCAACTGTAATGGTTAAGATTGTGTGTCAACTTGGCTGGGCCATGATTCTCAATGTTTACATGTGATCACTCCCATGATTGAAAATGCTGTGAGTAGCCAATCAGTGGAAAGGGAGTTTCCCTGGGGGTGTGGACTGCATCTGAATATAAACAGACTTTCTGGCTTTTTGCTCGTTCCGGATCCTGCGGCTGCCTCCTGTTTGTCTGACCTCTGGTTCTTGGACTTGAGCTATCAGCTTATCTGCTGATCCTGGGATTCGTCGATCTTCACAGCCTGTGAGTGGAGTCCTACTTTTCAACCTGCCAATCTTGGGTTCGCCAGCCCCTGCGGCTACGTGAATCGGGAGAAGCCTCTATCCTAATCCATGGACTTGGGACATTCCAGCCTCTACAATTGTGTGATATAAATTTCTCTCTCTATATATATTTATATGCTTTACTGGTTTTGCTTCTCTAGAGAACCTAGCCTAAGGCACCAACAGAATTAACTTCAGAGCAAAGAAAATTACCAGAGACAAAAGAGGAACAATTTGCCAAAAAGACTTAAATGAGTATGTATATTTAAAAAGAAAAACAACAGTGCTTCAAAATACATGAAGCAAAAACTGACCAGAACTGAAAGGAGAAATAGAAAAGTCCAGAATTATAGTTGGGGACTTCAATATACCTCTCTCGGTAATCAATAGACACACCAGACAGAAAATCAGCAGTTTATAGAAAAGTATAAACCTAATAACATAGAAAAGGATATAGAAATGAATAACACCATCAACCACCAGAGTTTAATTGACATTTATAGAACACCCGATAAAAACAAGATTTCCTTTTCAGGCATACATGGAACATTTACCAAGATACATCCATACTTACAGCTATTTTTCAATCCAAACCGGTGGTATTGTTAGGTGCAGTCAAGTTGGTTCTAACTAATAGCGACCCTATGTTCAACACAACGAAACACTGCCCAGTTCTGCACCATTCTCACAATCCTTGGTATGTTTGAGCCCATTGTTGCAGTCACTGTGTCAATCCATCTCCTTGAGGGTTTTCCTCTTTTTTGCTGACCCTCTACACAAGCATGATGTCCTCCAGGGACTGATCCCTTCTGATAACATGTCCAAAGTATATGAGACTAAGTTTCGCCGTCCTCGCTTCTAAGGAGCATTCTGGCTGTACTTCCAAGACAGACTTGTTCATTCATTTGGCAGCCTGTGATATATTCAATATTCCTTGCCAACACCATAATTCAAATGCATCAATTCTTCTTTATTCTTTCTTATTCATTGTCCAGCTTTTGCATGCATATGAGGCGATTGAAAATATCATGGCTTGGGTCAGATGCACCTTAGTCCTCAAAGTGACATCTTTGCTTTTTAACACTTTAAAGGGATCTTTTGCAGTAGATTTGCCCAATACAATACATCATTTGATTTTTGGACTGCTGCTTCCATGGCCACTGACTGTGGATCCAAGTAAATTGAAATCCTTGACCACTTCAATATTTTCTCTGTTTATCATGATGTTGCTTATTGGTCCAGCTGTGAGGATTTTGTTTTCTTTATGTTGAGGTATAATCCATACTGAAGGCTGTGGTC